AGCAGTCTACCAAAACCAGTTATAGTGTCTACAGTGCTAATATGACAAAAATTTTCAAATACTATTTTATGTTATAATTTAATAGTATTTGCCAATGCACGAAACTCAAGACAGATACATGTGCACGTCCATGCTATACTGCTTACGTTACATAATTAACAGATGAAAGATGCTCTTTGGAAAAAACAAATCAATGCCAGGCATGTTTTTAGCTAAGCACAAACATTCCACATGCCATGTGCTTTTCGGATACTTGCTGCAATTAATGATGCTACCGGTGTATTACAAATTTCGTTAAAAGCATCAACAACTTACTCCAGAGAAAAGTTGGGTATGTTCTCCAAACCAGTGTCAGCATGTCCGACTGGTTCAACACGGCTGTTATCTTCTTCTGTTCCGTCCTCGTCCTAGAGGTAACACGGCACAAAGAAAAGTACACTCTGTGTTAGGTTTATTTCTATAATGCGAAAGGAAACTGGAGTCTAATAGGCATTAGGATTACATTAACTAGGTCCTTCCTCTAAGGAGGATAACCTTGAACGATAAGATGGGTGTGTGTGGTGAAAAGCCGAATTTGAAAGCATAAAGAAAAGCACAAACAGCAAAGTAATCAACTCCCTCCCTCGTGTTCTTCCTTTGACAAAGGCAATATTTTGTACAAATTATGCTCCAATGTGTTACAGAAATCAGGTAAATAGGTTCAAACTCCAAAAGGTGCATGTGGAATAAATGTGGTAATTCATAAAAATAAATGAAATGCCTCCCAAGAAGATGCCTTAATTTACAATCGTGGCCACTTTCTTTTCATTAAGGAGTTTGTTAAGAGTTAAGTTGGCTTTTCAAGTTCATTGGAATAATAATAAACATAACCTGACTGATATCAACGGTGCTATTAACCAAATTAGAGTAGTTAGAAAAGACTCAGATTCTCCACATAAAATGGTTATGAGACCACACGTACGTACTTCTCCTCCTTGGATCCACAGTATCTGGGCACCTAGTAGATATTCTGTCAATATTTTGCCACCCAAAGCAAAATCACCCCTAGGAATCTCTGAGGTAATAAGTTTCTGAATGCAAGGAAGTAAAATTAATCTATTTCTTGGAAGTGTGTGTGTGTGTGTGTGTATATATATGTATGTACGTATGTATGTATGTGTGCATAATTTACATATACATAATTTGTTGGGTTTATCTTTTCCATATACTATATAACTTTGACAACAAGTGATTTTATTGTGCACTTATTAAACCACCTATATTAGGATAGACACTCCACCATTGGAGAAAAATTTTATATTTTTAATCATGTAATTGAGAGACTATTAGTAGAGATGTATATGCCACCAACAGAGGCATCAATCAACAACATGATAAGCAGGAGTCATAGGTTCAAGCCACAATGTCAAATAATATGTTAAATTTGTGAAGAGATATCAAGGGAAGGCAGAGCAAGCAGTAATGGCCAACTGACATTTCCTCCCAAGAATCTACCAAAAGAAGAAACTGAATGCACCAAGCTTTTCTATGAGCTGTAGCCATGCTCTGTGCGTTCTGAATGCAGGCGCGCTGCATGGAGCTGGGCTATTTGAAGACAGAAGACACGGGTGTCTTCAGAGGCTCTAATTTGTACTTCGTTGTCATCTATCTCTTTTAAACACCAGCACATAATACATCTCAAAGGTTAACCAGCATCTTGAACGGGCTTGAGAACTGCGCTTGAATGGAAACATGAACTCCCCGAATGATGCTTTTCCACTGGGAGCGAGGGTAGGAGGAAGAACACACACGACTGTGTATAAAGCAGATGTAAGTCATAAAAATAATCTTATAAGGTACAGACATTTTGTTTCAGGGTTCATTAATAATTTAAGCAGCACTGAAATGCCACCAAGATGCACCACCAGTTGAAACACCTATGTTGCACCGTGAGATAGCCACATAAATGAAATGCCCCAAACTACAATGATAAAACAGTCACTGATAATTTACACATTGTTCCCACAATGGCCATTACCGGGCCCCCAGGAGCACGTAGAATATTATTTCATGTCGCTGCATATGGTGTTCAGTTTGGATGGCAACATTCACTGCCCGGAGGCTGAGCTTCGGTTGCTGTGGGAACCACAACTTAGGAGTTTCCAAATTTTGGATGTGTAAATATCAGCTCCTATATGGTTTTATTTTGTTGCCTGGTACTTTTTTTAAGTTGTGACTGAACAGTTAACTTTTAGCAAGAGTTATATACTGAATTCCATTATAACCACAGTAAATGAAGCTCAGTTATTGTATCTGTCAAACCAATATTTAAGGACTACAGTATC